TGAATCATCCATCCTCTATCATCTGTCCCTCTTGCAACCATAGAGTGAGATGGTAAGTTGGCATCAGGAGTACAGTTCCTTACTATGTATCAGAACAAAATTAAATGGCCCACTTAAGGGATTTATCCATGACCTTGGTCTCAATAGGATCTTGCTCTAAATAAGAGTTAACTGGCCTGGGACCTCTCACAGACCAATTAATCTCTCTTTTTATTCAGCCATAATCCTGAAAAACAAAAAACTATATTTTCATTTATATGTTACTATCTCAAATAGAGAGGACATTTCTTTCTGAACACAGTATAATCAATGAAGAACATATTAACATTCAAACATATAGCCGTACACTGTTAATTGATTTTGTTTTAAGGTAAGTAGTATAATGTACTACAAAATTAACTTGCAGTACCTGCTATGGTACATGGAAGGGCTCTTGGGCCAGAGGCATTCACTAAAGGAATGAGAAAATAAAGTCTGGGATTGGGGTAAGTAGAAAAAATGGACTAAGGACACAATTAGTGAGAGATAAGCCAAAAGAAAGGAGCTTAGGTTTATCATAGGGTAGAGAGAGACATAAAAGAAGAAAAGTACTTGGGTATGAAGTGAAGCAGAGTGAAGAAGCATTCGCTCCACGGAAGAGAAAGGACATGGGGAAAGGACTGGCGAGTGGAAGGGTTAGTGCCTAGGTTAGGTCTTGTTTCCTAAATACATTTATTAACAAAAGAAAAGAGAAGGAAAAGAAAGGAAAAAGAAAAAAAGGAATTAGGGCTCACTGGAGAAGTGGTTGATTCCAGGGCTGCGGTAGGAAAAATATCCCAGAGTCTGGAGCATCTGGAAGCACCAAAAAGTAAAGAAGTACAGAAAACAAGATGGAGGCATGTCAAAGACATCAAAGGACACAGAAACCAACCCGGAGAAGCTCCCATTAGCCAAAGCTAGAACAATCTGAGCAACAAAACAGATGATAGCATTGAATAATAATCTACAGAATAAAATACAAATTATCATTAGGTAAATACCACAGTAGTAATTGTGTAAGTAAGAGCCACTGATGGATGAGAAAGTCAGTAGGCAAAAGTCTGAGAAACAGGATATTGGCAAAGTCTTGCTCTCATCTGGCAATCATCAGTTTGTTCTCTGTATCTATGAGTCTGTTTCTGTTTTGTTTGCTTATTTTGTTCTTTAAATTCCACATATAAATGGGATCATATGGTGTCTGTCTCTGGCTGACATTCCACTTAGCATAATATCCTCTAGGTCCATCCATGATGTTGCAAATGGTAAGGTTTAATTTTTTATGGCCGAGTAATATTCCACTGTGTGTGTGTGTGTGTGTGTGTGTGTGTGTGTGTGTGTGTGTGTGTGTGTGTGTACCACATCTTCTTTATCCAGTCGTCCACTGATGGGCACTTAGGTTGCTCCCATTATCTTGGCTATTGTAAATAGCACTGCAGAAGAGATAAGAGCTGCATCCAAGATGGAGCCTATTTGCACCCCTGCCAAGTGGCCATTAGCCTATTCCCCTAACATCTCTATCTAGTGAGAATGAATGCATCACTTCCCAAAAGTTGCCTATTCCATCTCTAAATAATTCCAAAAATCTGTTAGAAAGTTCTTCCTTATATGGGACTGAAATGCAGGTCCTTGTATGTAGCTTCTACCCATTGGTCCTACTCTTCAGACCACAAGGAACATGTCCAAATTTGCTTCATAAACAATTCTTCCAGTATTTGAAGACAAGTCTCTTCTGCTCGAATCTTGTCTTCTTAAGGCTAATAAGAAGAGTGTGATTTTTCTCTAATCACTCCCTGTGTTCTTTCATAATTCTGGTGATTCTCTGAAAGTTTTCCGGATTGTCTTATGGTGTGGCATCTGAAAGTCTGCTCTGAATTGTTTAGCACAGACAGCATACTGACCCACAAGCACTGATGAGCCACATGGCATTAAGCGCAGCTGAGCCAGGCTTCTAACCGTGACAGACTCGGACAACCAACATCTCACAGTTCTCTAAGCAGTCTGTCAGGACCTATGTTCTAGCTACCATTCCTTGGAACTCTTGTAATCAGTGCAGACTGCTACGGTCTCCTAAGGGGCCTAAGTGCTCTCCTCTGCCCACCAGACAATTTCTTGGACTAATTCTATTGGCACTTCCACCTTACCACTGTGGTCCAATAAAGCAATCATCTCTTTCATTGTCTCCCTATAGTGTAGTGTAGTGTCAACACAGCAGCCAGAATGATCCCATTAAAATATAAACCACATCATGACACTTCTCTTCTCAAAATTTTGCACTGGCTCCCCATTTCATTGCACCGCCTCACCCCCCGTCATCTTTGTTCACCTCCTACAACTCTCCCCCTTGTTCACGTAGCTCTAGCCCCTTTGGTCTCCTTGTTATTTCTTCAACATGCCAGGCATCCTCCTGGCTTAAGACCTTTTCAGTAGTTGCTCTTGCTGCTTGGGACTCTCTGAATCAGCATGGTTAACTCTCTCACCTTCTTTTTTATCTTTGCTAAGTGTTGCTCAGCCCATTCTTTGTAATTCTACAACTTTCTCCTACCACACCCTCACTCCTGAACCCCTTAACCTGCTGTTTTTTATTCTGCAGAGCACTTATCACTCTTCAGTACATTAGATCATTGTTATTATATTATGCTCACTGTTCATTGTCGGCCTCCTCCTGCTAGACTGTGAGCCCTGTGAGGGCACGGACCTTTGATCACTGATGTGCCCAAGATTTACTGTTGATGGAACCTTGTGGCAAGCTTAAACCTAACACGTCCTGTGTCCTTATCATCGCTGGTCACTGCTCAAATGTAAGCCCCTCCAGGCGGCATCTTCTCCAGTACTTTTGTCCCCATACTGCTTTGTGCTCTCTCCCCTGGTCCAACATCCTGGTCTTCCCTTGCTTCCATACCCACAGTGCCTTTCTGAACCCCTATTTCATGGCTATTAAGTATCCCTACCTTCTCAGTCCCCGTGCTGAATTTTCCCTCATACTTCGACTGAGATCTGGCTCTTCTCTCAGGACTCCAGCTCCCCTGGAGCCTTTGGAAATTGAGGCTACTTATTCTTTGTTCCTTGGCTATCACCCCTCTTATCCTCTACTCTTAAGCAAAATCCCTGCTCCTGTGAGGCTGGAACCAGCTTCCTCTCCCCCGCGTAGCTGCCATCTACTGACTTCTAGGCCGCTTTCCCATTTACTGCACCATTCGGCTCAGTCTTTCTCTCCACCTCATGGCTTATCATCCTGACTGACTATAAGGTCCATGTGAATGACCTTGGCTTCTAGTTCATTAACCGGCATAATCATACTGCCTTTCATTCACACCCGTATCACTTCAGTCTCCCATGGCCAAACCCAGACCATGTTATCACTGAGATCTGATCTACTTTTGACATCTTCAGCCTCAATATAATGCTCTCAAGCCACAATCTCCATTGCTTCTACTATGCCAGTTCTTTGATGTCATTAAAATCCCCCTTCCCCAAGCTCTTCTGTGTGATCCTTTTCTTACAGCCAAGCTCCTGATAGTTCTACTTCTTTCTCGACTTAGTTTAGATGCCAAGATCCATCACTTCCTGTGAACTGCCACTCTAATCTTTATGGATTTTTGTACTGGTTCATATGGCATAATTTAAATAAATCTGAAACAGAGCAAAAACCTCCTAAAAATATACTTAATGTGAGAATGGAAATAATATGAATTCCCTACATTTAAAGAATTTTCAGGAATAAAACTGGAGCGTCTGGTTAACTGTGATTAGTTTTTGTGCTGTTGCCACATGGTGGTGCCATTTTAGCTGATAAACAGAACCACCTGCCGTCTTTGCTCAGCACTGCGAGAGCCTCCCGCTGTTGATGTGGAGCTTCTGTAAGTGGTTATGATGACTAATGTGCTGTTGTTTTACAAACTCTGTTATTATAACTGAAAATATTTTCATGTCCTATAACAATATCTCTCAAGCGTTCATTAAGCAGTGGTTCTAGTGATAGTGTTGAAAAACACAGCCCCCCAAACAGTAACTTTGGAACAGAAGTTAGTTGTGATAAAACACTACAAAGAAGGCCAAACATCCCCTATGACTAAGTTGTTAATTTAGGATTGAGCACTTTAAAACATTTAGAAGGTAATGTAGGAAAAAATTTAAATGGAGTATTTAAGTAAAAATATGCTACCCTGCTGTATATTCATGCATTCCCCGAATCTGTGACATTTACATTTTTTCCTATGGAAAAATTAGTCTTAAAGTATGAGTTTTATATCAGGAGATCACTTCAAGAACACATCCAAAATACAAAATCTAAATGCTTTCTTAAAATACAGTATTTCCCCAAACTTCTTTCACAAAATGCTTCTCTTTCCATAGAATACCCAAGCATACCGCAAATAGTGTGCTGGCTATGAGCGTGGGCTTTGGAGCCGGAGTGCCTGGATGTGAATCTCCCAGTTTTCTAGCTGTATGGCTTTGGGTAAGTTACTTACCTTTTCTGTGCATCGGTTTCCTCATCTGGAAAATCAGGATGATAATGCGACCTACCTTAAAAGGCTGCTGTGAAGGTCAAGTGAGTTAATATATGTAATACACCTAGAACCCCACACAGCACTGAGTGAATGCTATGTGTCAGCCATTGCTGTAGTTATCATCACCACCTCTGCCTTCCCATCGACTCCTGATGATACTTACAAGGACGAATTTATTTCACCGGGTAAAAAAGTAAGATGCTCCTTTATATAAATTACTCATTTAGTATATATAGTGGTTATTCATAGGATATGCAGTGATATGAAAATATTAGTTCTTTTGCTATTTACTTTTGGGAGAATTGTGAGAACACTTCTTCACCACGGTATCAATGTACAGCAGAGTAGGCAATATTTAAAGAGCCTTTTCCAGCACAAGTACTGGGTAAGTGGTATGATTCTGAAGAGGGCCTGCTCAGACACTAATATTTACATCAAATTATCCAACAGTACGTGTTCGTTTGCCAATCTTACCTTCAGCCTGTCTTTGGGCAATGCAACAACTCCTTGCTTGATGATTTCCAGGACCCGTTCCACTGAGAGCTCAGCTCCAGCTTGTAGCAACCTTGAGCTAAAGAAGGTGATCACCTGGAATGCAAAGCATTATTTTTTTAAACAAGTAGATGTATGAGACAAATTTTCAGTAGATGCCTCTCTCACATAGTAGGCAAACTGTCATGATTCCACTTCTTACAGTGACCTGGCTTTTAATTCACTAGCCCTCCTAAGTGCAATCCTCGCTGTAAAGGGTTTGAAGGCTGAATCAGAGCCAATCTCTGAATATTCTGGGCTGCTTATCCATTCTGTGATAATGGATAAGTAGGCTCCTGAATTCTGCTCTTTCTTGTGCTGCCTTACCTTGCATTTATATTTCATTTAGAGAGCAGCACCCATCAGAAGGTAGGAAGAGAAAGCTAAAGCTTAAGACCTTTCAGTATCAAGGCTTAATAGTAACTCTTTAAAAAAAAAAGGCTTAATAACAATTTGAAGCTAATGGCTAAAATGATGTTTGGGGTATTATTTATTAATTTAATTTTCCCACAACACTTTTATTCCTGGTCACCAGGAACAATCAACAGCAAACTGTAATTACTTTGTCTCATGTCACGGCACAGCCTGAACTATGCAGCAAGATGCCAACACGTAGCATTCTGGAAATAATATTGTCCTTTAATATTTGTCACAAAACACTAAAAGAATGTCATACTTTAACAAATCATTTAAAAATCACAGTTTTAATAAATCAAGATGACTGTAGATCTTTTTATTCAAGAGGATAACTTAAATGTTTATAGTCATAAATGCAAAAATATAAAAACATGCTTTTAAAACAAACTTGACTAGTTCCATTTTTATTTTATATTAAGTTCCTAACAATTATTTGCAAACATTTTTATAAATTTTCATTTAAGATTACTCTCCTAAATATTTCATTCAGGAGTACTATTTTTTGCTAATCATTCCAGTGTAAAGTAAAGAGGCCCGGCGGAGCCAGGATCTTAATGAGTCTGTGCCTTGAGAGACAGCGGCAATGAGTGAAAATAAAGGCAGCTGATGGCTGGGTACATGGTGGTTGAGTTGGGATAAATAATTTATCTCAGGCAATCTGCTGGCACCAGCCCCTTTTCAAGCTGTTTATTTTGTCCACGACAGGTTGGTTTTCCAGCATATGCCTATGGATCTTGTTTTTTCCCAAGTCAGATTTTAAGCTCTTTTGGGAAATTCTGGGATAAAATTCTGTTCTGAGTTTAGACACAGCGTGTACTCAAATTGATTTTTTTTAAAATTGATTTTTATAATATAGTGATTAAGTCTTTGAAGACAGACACAATACAGATAGAAAACATACTGAAATAATTAAATTAAAATTTATTTAAAAATACACAACAACAAAGATGCAAATTAAATATTTTTCTCTTATATAAATATCTTTACTGGTTTTACACATTGTTTTTCTGAGAAAAAAAATTTGGTTAACCATATGAAATGCCATTTTTTTAGGTAAAAAAAAAATGGTTGAATGTTGGCAATTTCATATGGTTCAGCCTAATATCTGTACATAAAGCTCTCTTCTTTGACCAAAAAATATTTAAAGACTAGGAATATATCTGTTAAAAACACATTCTAAGAAATGAAAAATGCTAATAGAAAAGTAGGTAAATCTTACAGATGTTTGAGGCTTATAGAATGTTTTTTCCCCCTTCTAATATTTACTAACCACAGATATTTTCACTATTGGATGATTTTTGGCTTATAGCAGTAGATAACGCAGACAAGGAATAGCTCTCAATGGTGGCTGATCATCGAAAGTAGCCAGGAATCTTTGTGAAAATACTGATCCCCAGGCCTGGCCAGAGACCTTCTATACCAATCTCTCTATGTGATTTTGACCATTAGCCAGAATACAGACCAGCAGTGTCCAAATTTATTTTTGACTATACACACCTACAAGCAAAAAAGTGAGGATGTACTTCCAATATATGTCCCATTTATTTATAAATTATGCTATATACTGCAACATTAATGATTTACATGTTACGAAATGTACATAAAAATTTAAATAAAGAAAAAATAACTAGATTTTAATTGTAGACACAAAATACTTTTTGTACTCAAAATATTATCATTAAAAATAATCTGGATAATTAGCTATTATATGTCTTGCTAATCACAAAGGCTTCACATGATCATTAGAAAACATAATAACACTTACAGTAAGATGCACTGTTTATGTAAATCCATAATGCAAACAGCGTTCTTGATAATTTTTATGGATCCATTTCTTGTGAGAGTAGACTGATTCATTACTGTTTTTACCTTGTAATGTAGCACTTTTATTCTAGGAGAGGGATGTCAGCTTTGCCATTTTATTTTCATCACGTATTAATATACATATTATATCTGAATACTTATATTATTGTTTTGCCATCAATTTGCGGTTCCTTTGCAGGAATCATGCAAATCGTGCTCATTTTGTGAGGGTTTATTTATTAGTTAGATCTAGATAGTAAAACCATGAACACATAAAATACAATAAACCTCAAATGAATGAAAGGTAAGCTCTCCAAGCTGAAGCACTCCTATTTCCTCCTTCAGGATACCTGGAGTACTGTGGCTGACCCAGAGACCCTGGCTGCTGGTCCATGCCAATATAAAGAATTAGTAAAAAGAAATCTGTTTATTTTTAGTCAATAAATAAAAGCTCTAACATTTTCTTCCCATGCCCCTATGGATTGTCAGTTAACACCTCTGGGATATGTGTATTATCCACTTTGGAGATCACTGATTGAGATAACAAAATACATATAGTCAAAGCTAAGTGGAATGGACAGTAGTCAAATATTCAGACACAACAAACCAACATAGGAGAGAGTACTTACATGTCACATCATCAAAGAACAAAGTAATGCAAAATAATGCAATGATCACTCTGTGGCTTAAACAGACTTGCCTCTAAGCCGCAAACACTCCCATTCCCATGGGAGCTGCAGAGTAGGCAAGAGACTCAGTTTCTAAGTAAATTTTCTTTTCTTGAACTGTATCTTATCTGTATGTTGTAAAGCTGACATTCTAATGTTTTTGCATTCAAACTCCCACTACTTTAAAACAATGCTAAAATTACCAATTCCAGAAAAGAAATATAATTTATATGTCAAAAAGAAAGTGAACGAACATCTATTGCACGTTTATCATGGGCCATTGGGAGCTACGTATACTATTTATTTAATTCTCACAACAATCCTATGAAGCTGATAAAATCTGTCCTGCAGATGAGTCAACAGGATCAGAGAGAGAGAGGCTTGGCCAGGGTGAGCCAAGTAAGTGGCAGGAGTCAGACTGGAACCCGGATGTTTCTTCTTACTTTATTATCTCCAGCAATTCTATGTAACAAAGGCTTAGTTTTTTTTAATAGAAAACATTTGAGGTGAAAGGTGTTAAGCTGTTTAGCTGAAAATTTCCTTTGGAGTCAGGATGCAACACTAGCAAAGAATGTGAAACTAGTAAAAAAAAAAATCTGTATTCAAAGATAGAAACATGTATTTCCTAATATTAGGTTAGAATTTTGCACACAATAGTAAATTTAGTGATGATGATGATAACAGGCTTTTATCAACTTCCACAGTAACCATTAAAACTATTTAGATCAACTTTTTTTCCCTCTGAATATGTCTGCATATTCAGCCAATAATAGCCAATAATAGAAAAAAAAATTAAAGTTAAAACCTTAGCTAAAATTAGAATGAATGATATGTTAGTGTAACTCAAAGGCAACCTTTCAACAGAAGGTACTTTTTCACAGTGGGTGTTTTATAACTTTCCTCCACCTACCATATTTGGCTGCAATTCAGTAAATCTAAGTATAGCACATTACCTTCAATTTGGCTATTAGTTTTGAACAATAATTGTTCAATGTCATGGTCTGATTAATCAGCTGCACTCTTTGAGTAATGTTAAAATCACATTTAACCACCTATCATGAAAGTGAATGATCACCAGAACACAGATTTATAGAAATGAGAAGCTTTTCCGAGGGACATGAGGGTGACAAAAGAGTAAGTGTATGTTAGACAGGCAAACATTCTTGCTTGTCAAATGGCCACCCTGCCATTATTATTAGGTATATTTCAATATCTTCAAATGAAAAAGGTGCCCTATCTACCACATAGAAAATAATTATAATACATGTGAAAGTAGTCTGTTAAGAATAAAATTTATACAATGTTACTATTGCCAATAATCTATACAATTGATAATATTTCTTTGTAGTTACATGTCTATATTTTCTGATTTTATGCCTCTTATAGGTGAATAATTTGTAAGAACTGAGTTTGGTTGCAAAGGTCATCTCACCAAACCAGACAGGACTAGCAAGTGAAATCTACAATTCCAGGAAAGCCTGAAAGTTAAAACCTACATGATCACCACTAGTTGAATACATTACTAAAAATGCATGTACTTTTATGTGAATTTATGCATAACTGATCTCTTTCAAAAATTTATATTAGTTTATTATTTTCAAAAAAATTAAACTTAGTACTAGATTGAGGAAGTTTTCATAGTTTGCATAGGTTTTTTTTTTTAATCATGAAAAAATAATGAATTTTGACAAACGCTTTTTCTGCATACACTAAGGTGATTTTATGGTTTTTCTTTGCTGATGTGGTGAATTACATTGATTAGTTTTTGAATGTTGAACCAGCCTGAATTCCTGGGATATGTGCTAACTGATAATTTGATAGATTGCTAAATTTGATTTGCTAATATTTTGTTGAGGATTTTTGTGCCTCTGTCCATGAGTGATACTGATTTATAACTTTCTTTTCTTGTAATGTCTTTGTATAGTATTGACATTAAGTTAATAATGTCTTCATAAAATGAGTTGGAAAGTATGTCTTTTTATTCTATTATATAGAGAAGTTTATATTAAAATAGTATTATTTCTTTCTTAAAAGTTTGGCAGAATTCAAGAGTAAAGCCATGTAGGCCTGGAGTTTTCTCTATTGGAAAATTTTTAAGTACTAATTCAGTATAAAGACATAGAACTACTTAGATAATCTGTTTCTTTCTTAGTAAGCTTTGTGTTTAATTTTTTCTTCTCTTTCCATTTTCTTTTTTTGGGGGGGGGCAGATGGTACCAAATTACTATATTTGAAGGAATGATACAAGGAAAGAACTTAAGTAGATGTTTTGGTAAAACCTACAGAAAAGGTAACTTCAACATGCACGCACTGCCTTGGTGACCAAGGAAGTCACCTCTGTGGCTACAGGAAGCCAGCCTAAGGCTTAGCTCTCGTTACCACAGTCTCCCAGGGTGTGCTTGTTAAAGAGATACCCTGCCCTGCCAGATTCGGGAGCCCCCATCTTGCATAAATTGGTTATGCGGTCACCGAATTGTCTAACGAATTTCACCCGTTCATCCAGGTAATGAATCTCAATGAAGTCACGCAAATGGGGGTCGTTTTTGTCAGTGGCCAGTTTGTGCAGTTCTAATAGTCAGTGATTCACACTTTCTTCCGAGTGTAATGTACACATCATTTCATTCAACCCATTCTCCCCATTGTGACAGTCTGGTTTCTTGACATCCTGAAGGAAGATTGAGCCACTTCGTTGACTTTGCAGCTTCATCAGTTTCTCAGCATGTTTCTTCTCCTCATAAGCTTGGTAAAGAAAATATTTGGCAAAATTCTTCGAAGCCACATAATCACAGTCCCAGTAGAAAGACATGGACAGGTAAATGCGGTGGCATGGAGCTCCAGGCTGATCTGGGTGTTGATGGCCTCCATTTCCTGGTGGTAGTTCTGACTAATGGTATTTTTCTAGTTTCTTAATGTGGAATCTTATCATTGATTTAAGACCTATTTTCTTTTCTAACAGAAGAATTTAATTCTGTAAATTTCCCTCAAAGCTTTAGCTGTGTCATAGAAATTTTGATATATTGCATTTTCATTTTTATTTTTGCTCACTTTTTAAAAATGTCTATCTATTTCCCTTGCAACTTCCTCCCTTTGACCTGTAAGTGTATTGTTTAATCTCCAAATATTTGGGGGTATTTTCCAGACATCTTTCTTATTGATTTCTAGTTTAATTTCATTGTGGTTGAAGAACATACTGTATATGACTTCAAGTCTTTTAAATTTGTTGAGGTTTTATGGCCCCAAGTATGGAATATCTCAGTGAATGTTCTACATGTACTAATGTTGGGTGGAATGTTTTCTAAACGTCAGTTAAATCAAGTTGGTTGGTAGTACTGTTTTAGTCTTCTGTACTGTTACTAATTTTCTGTCTACTTTCTGTATCAGCTACTAAGAAAGAAGTATCGACTTCTTCAGTTATAATTATGAGTTTGTCTATTTCTCCTTGCAATTCCATCAGTTTTTGCTTCATGTATTTTGAACCTTTGTTAGGTGCATCCACATTTGGGATTGTAATGTCTTCTTGATGAATTTACCTCTTCATCATTTTATGGTATCGCTCTTTATCTCTGGCAATATTCCCTGTTCCGAAGTCTACTTTACTATTATCACTCCAGCTTTCTTCTAATAAGCACCTGTACGGTAAAACTTCTTTCATTCTTTTATTTTTAATGTATCTATGTTTTTGAAGTGAGTTGCTTATAGACAGTACATAGTCAGATCTTACTTGTTATCCAATTTGAAAATATTTTCATTGAGGCATTTGATGTAATTATTGACGTGGCTGAATTTAAATCTACCATATTGCTCGTTGTTTTCTATTTGTTCACTAATATTTATTCTGCTTTTCTTGCCTGCCTTTGGATTGCGTATAATTTATGGGTCTATTTTATCTAGTTATATCTCTACTTCTTCTGTGTGATTGGCCTAGAGTTTATAATATACATCTTTATTTAACAGTCTACCTTCAAATAAAATCATACCATTTCACATTGTCAAGAACTGTGAAGAGTCTGAAATTTTACTCTACTTGCAAGTTAAGAAGTTAGTCACAGTTTCATGGATTCTGGAAGAAGATGGAGATTTCTGGGTCAGTTATGAAGGATGGTCACAGCAATAGCGGTAACATTTTTGCACTGGTTCCCCAAACCCCAATTTGCACAATGGTGATTTGAAGAGGGCCAGATGACCTTTGCACATGCAGTAGAACTCTGAGCTTAGGGACCCAAATCTTCTCTAATGGTCAGTAAACATACCTATCTTTCACTCCAGAGGGAGACAGGGACATGTCTGCAGCCTATCCTTACGTTCTCTTTGCTTGGAACACTTTGACCTTAGATACCTACTTGGCTCACTCTCTACCTTCGTCAAGTCTTAGCTCAAATAAATATATTTCTGGCCTTTACTATACTACATAACTATTATTGTTCACTGCCTCTGTTCTCTACTTATACTCAGGCTTAAAATTCTTCCATGTCCTCGCTCATTTGCTGTGGTAATTCTGTTTTGTCCTGCTGCCTAATTCAGCCAGATCATGTCATCTTGGGAGTTAGACGGGAGGGATATGTACCAGTGGATAACAGAAATTTGGCCACTTGAAAAACACATGTCTAACTCTTTCTGCAGAAGTTAAAAGTGCTCCAAGGTTAGTCACGGCTGTCTCAGATAGTCAACATTGCTGAATGTCTTAATGAAAAATATCAACTCTCAACTCCCTGTCAGCTAAAAATAAAAGTAGATTCATAGTCTCCTCTACCAATACTTTTCAAGGTTAACTTCATGAAAGAAGAAATAGTAAAGGCTTGCTTAAGCCAAAATTTCAGGGGCATTTAGGGGAGGAAAGGGGAAGGTAAAGTGCTGAAAGAGGCAAAAAGTAGAGATGTTATTTATATCTTTATCATGGCATTTAAAAAAAATATGTAAATGTTTACAATGTTTTGAATGAATTTCCAGTGTGCCCAGCACTATTTTGCATGGCAGTATTCAGCAAAAAGTTGTTGGAAAGCCTGCTCATGTAAAATCTTACTTAGGTTTATTCAAGTGAATGTTGAAAACATGGAGTTATTAATGAGAAGACCTGGATTCAAGGCCTGATTGAGTGACTTACTAGCTAAATGACCTTGAGCCAATGATTTTTTTCCTCTCGAGCCCTGCTTTGCTTCGCTCGAATCCCGCTCGAAAGGATGGTTTAAGGGTCAAATAAGATCATGGATGTGTAAATAACTCACAATGATAAAGCCCTATGCAAATATGTAATCATTATCTAAGACAATGACTCTTAGGCTTGGATTTGTGTTAAATTCACCTGGGAAACCTTCTCTTAGCATCTTGGTTTTCTTATCTCAGATAATGGTTAAATATATTTTAGGATATCCGTAATACAGATATTAAAATGTGAGATTTTCAAAGAATTGATGATACTACAGAAAAATGCTAACGATCTAAATGTTAAGTAAAAATGGAAGAATACAGAACTGTACAAAATAAAGTATGACCTCGATTCTATTAAATATATACGTGTGTGTGTATGTGTATACGTATGTCTATGTATCTAAGACATACACACACATATGGAATGCGACAACTGTTATAGCAGAATAGATGGCAAATACAGTTAATGTTGAAGAGACTTTAACTATTATAGTTTTTATCGAGATCTGTTAAACTTTCTCTACTTTGATATTTAAAAAAGAACCATAATAAACATCTCCATTTACACTTACCAGGTCAATATTTTGCATTATATCCTGAAATGAAGGATGAGTTTGAAACTGTTCAAAGAGATCCCGTTTGTACAGCAGTGCATACACCAAGTTTGGATTGTGGTGAAGAGAATTTGTCAGGCAGGAATTGATGATCTCTAACATCATTCGAATCACTTCTTCGATGACATTTAGGTCTTGTGCCTGATAAAGAAAATCCCCACACAGAGTCAGTGTTTTTCTCCTTGACACGGAATTAACTAGAATGAGAGCAACTGCTTCAAAATTGTAACAGCACTGGAAAGATCATGCAGAAGAACTCTTCAAGACTATTTTTGTCAAGACTCTTTAGAATTAGGTTATCAGTTACTAAAAAATCTGAGGGGAAAAATTTTAAACTTAGTATGGTGACAATTAGGAATTTCATGTAATAAATTATAAACTCGCCAACCCAGAAGGAAATTTGGAGCTTACTTAGCCCCTCATTTAATAGATCCTTATTTGTATCCTCATCACTGTGTCACCCTAAATCATTAGACTTTCATAATGTACAGTGGTGGTAAGGTCTTACCAAGTCCAAGAAAAGTGCCTAATTCAGAATGTGGCCTCATTTTTCTGCACTGTCATTTCAATCTTTACATTTACAGACAAAAAGCCTATTGTTTTGTTTCTGTTTTCTCAAAGTCAATTGTCTTTGGGAATCCAAACGTAGTTATATGACAGCAAAACTCAAAGTAAGTAATCAACAAATCTCTTGAAGAAAGAGCAAAAATACATGTAAATACAATTGACTTTCCTTCTCTTCTTGAATTTTGTAAATTATGTTTGCCAGTTGAAGCGAAAATTATAACACTGTCTGATGGGGTTCTCAATGTGATCCTCTGTGATAATGCCCAGTTTAGAATTTATTCTGCTTATTGACTTTTCAAGTTTAATGACTATAGTTTTCATTTTAAGTTTTCTAATTAACTAGTATTGTCACAGTCACATTCTTATTTCACTTCTCCCTGTTTTTATTTCACAATTATTTATTTTTCTTTAAATACTATTCCTTCATTTATCTTTGAGGATACTAAAAATACTTGGAGTATTTTCAAAATTATTCTTTTAATTTTCAATTCTGTTCAGATAAATTGACCGTAATCATGATCATGACTACATTGGCTGTCTTTCATAATCATGATCATGACTATATTGGCTGTCTTTCTTAGTATTAAGTTACATTTCAGCATGTATTTTGGAGTTTTGGTTACGCAGCCTTATTTAATGTGGATTAGTCCCCCAAATCTAAGGGTCATGCAGTGGCTTCCTAGAGTCTGAAACTAGGTTATCAAGGCAGGTGTATCACAACTGCTTTGTGATGAAACTGCAGAGAGGAAGGAGAGGGTCCGTCACCAACAGTTATCAGTTTGGCTCAAAATCCCATTGTAAGGTTGGCTCTGCATCCTTCCACTTCCTTAGACATAAAACTTAAAAGCATTTATTAACACCCTGATTCAGCCTCTTTTCAATAAAAGATCTATTCCAGCTCTCAGTTTCTAGCAGGGGACCTGGCACTAGCATGGTGCCTCTTACCTGGGCACATTTAGTGATGCACCCTGTAGGAGCTGAGCTTGCAGCCACTCCTGTGTCCTTCCAGACCTGAAGCTCTGCAGGTTCACTGCTCCAGACCCTGCTCTGAGAAATGTCTTATCTCATTTTGGGGTATGGCTATGTGTTTTGAATGTTCTCTTGTTATAGTTCATCGATTATTTTTGTTTTCAGAGCAAAGAGAAGAGATGAGCCTTCAAATTGAGAACTGACAACATAATCTTGACCAGAGTTCTCTCAATTAGGTTTTTCATCTCACTATGGTACTTAAATTAGTAGAGGAAAAAGAGGCTTCAAGTTTAGAGAATCTCTCTCAAAGTCATTTAAGAGCAAATCAGTGAGACTGTATGACTACAAGTCAAAATATTAGCTTTCTGCAGAATTTCATGTCCATAAATATTTCATATCCCCACTTATATTAAGTGTTAGGTCCTAACACATTAAAATTAAATTTAAAAAATGAATTACCTGTTGATAGCTTACAATTTCTGCTTTCAAACACATTAATAGTTTTTCTCAACGTTTTAATGAGTAATTTGCTGAAACAGACAGGGTAAACACCCAACTCTCAAATAGGCTCCTGCTCATTTAAATTCAAACTAAACTATTGATCATTTGTTTTATTCCCAAGTCAGGTAAAGTATAAACTGAAAACACTACATCAATAAGCATATTCCACATTAATTTTCACTTTGCATCAATCAATCTGACTGAAGGCTCTTTAAGAGTTATACTAACTCTCTCATATTTAAAGGAGTTACTGGATATTTTATTTATAAATTAAATGACGATCGCTTCTTGGCCTTTTGGCTAAGATTAAGTGTAGTATCTGTTCTTATCAGTTTAATATAAATTAAATGACCACATAAAGTTTCTTGCATTATTCGCATCAACTGAAAATATAATGTGAGAAGTTATAACAAAGACATTTTATGCAAAATCACATTTTGTTGGACTGTCATACTTGAAAGCATCTTATATATTTTAATGTTGTAGAACCATTAGGAAAACAAAAGCGAAAGGAAAGCCTCTTCAATAAATGGCACTGGGAAAACCGGAAAGCCACCTGCAAAAGAATGAAACTAGACTGTTGTCTATCACCACGCATCAAAATTAACTCAAAATGGATTAAGGACCTGAATATAAGACATGAAACAATAAAATGCAGAGAAGAAAACATAGGCACTAAACTCAAGGACCTTGGACTTAAAGAAGATTCTATGAATTTGACCTCAAAGGCAAGGGAAGTAAAAGCAAAAATAAATGAATGGGACTACATCAAACTAAAAAGCTTCTACTCAGAAGAGTAGAAGAACAAAAGAAACCGTCAACAAGGCAAAGAGACAACCATCTAAATGCGAAAATATATTTGCAAGCAACATCTCTGATAAGGGCCTAATATCCAAAATATACAAAGAACTCATATGACTCAATAACGACAAAAAAACCCAAATGATCCAATCAAAACATGGGCAGAGGACCTGAACTGACACTTCTCCCTAGAGGATATACAAATGACCAACAAATATTTGAAAAGATGCTCAACATCGCTAGCTATTAGGGAAATGCAAATCAAAACCACAATGATACCATCTCACACCTGTTAGAATAGCTATTAACCAACAGGACAAGTAATAACAAATGTTGAAGAGGATGCAGAGAAAAAGGAACCCTCATACACTGCTGGTGAGACTGAAAATTGGTACAGCCACTATGGAAATCAGTATGGAGGTTCCTCAAAAAACTAAGCATTGATCTACCATATGATCCAGCAATCTCTCTAGTGGGTATTTACCCCGAAGACTCAAAAATCCATATCTAAAAAGATATTTACACATCGATGTTTATAGCAGCATATTCACAGTGGCCAGGACATGGAAGCAACCGAAGTGTCCTACGATAGATAATTAGCTAAAGAAGCTATGGTAAATATTTACAATGGAATATTACTCAGCCATAAGAAGAGATGAAATACTGCCATTTGCGACAACATGGATGGACCTCGAGATAATCATGCTAAGTGAAATAAGCCAGATGGAAAAAGTTGAAAATCATATGATATCACTTATATGCGGGATATAAACCTAAAAGCAACAAATGAGCAGGACAAACCGAGACTCATGGACATGGACAATAGACCAGTGGTTACCAGAGGGGAGGGGGAAAGGGGGAGATAGATGGGGTAAAGGAGATCAAATATGTGGAGACAGAAAGAAATCTAACTATGGGAGGTGAACACACAGTGTAAATATATATACATATATATGTCTTACTGTTAAAGTATACAGATGAAACGCATTGGATTTCATTAACCAATGTCATCATAAAAACAAACAAACAAATAAATTAATTGATGATAAAAAAAAGTGAGAAATTAAACATACTTTAGAAATTAAAAACAAGTTTAACTTAAACCGTAGTGGGTTATAATTTAACATGTAACATTTTAAATAATTTAGGTTATTAAAATTTCAATATGAAGACCTCTTCCCAGCCCCAGCCCAACTATCCTGTTTATGAGAGAACGCCAATTTCCTTCCTGGTTATATCCAAGGGCGAAATTCAAAATAACAACTAGTAGGTCAAAAGATTTAACAACTGCTAAATGGATGTGGGTTGTACACAATGAGCAGCCCTACCATCTTGCCCCTCTTGGGTGTCAGTCACCATTATTCCCACAAGTACTTTCGAAGAGATTATTTCTTGAGGTTTCCTTGAATTCAAGTATCCACACTGTTTTTTTTTTTATGTCCCTGAAACTGTACCAATAATTTCTACATACATTATTTTATTCAATTCAGCCATCCTTTAGCTTAATACAGAGCAATTCAGTTATTATCTTTCCAGTTAGAAAGCTTAGAATTTAATCAAAGAATTATAAAATCATAAAACATACTCAGAAGTTATGCAAGATACTCCCAACACTTGATTTAATGTTACAATCCCTTCTATGATATTCATTTCAAGTGGTCAAACTTAACCTTGAACTCAGAAACTGAAAGACTCCTGGTTCATTTTTTTGTGTAGTTATAGAAAGTTGATGCAGCTCAGAAGTCCATCACATTAGCACTCCTACTCATTGGTCTCTTCTATGCCATTGTCACAGCTATTACCTTGTCTTCAATCCATCAGAAACTTAACTGTCCCTCAATATAACCTGATTTAAAGCCTTATCCTATTCACGTTCTGTTTGGACTGTTTTGATCACAGATGTAATTCTGTATATTTAGTTACTGCTGTTAAGATACATAACAAATATATAAGTACATAAATGTATACTTAAATCCCAGCAACTAATTCATTTCCATTTTCAAGTGGCAGCAGCTCTCTGCTAACCACACTTTAATCATCTTTTAAAGAACAGCTAGTATTCCTACTGCTTGTTTCCTAGAAACCATGCTCTTATGGATCCTTCCATTTGTGTTGAGAGATCAATTGCAGATTCAAGGCACCAAACAGGTCATGAAATAATCATGGGCCAGAGGGGTAAACTGTGTACAAGGAGATTCTGATTTACTAGAAATAAAGTAGCGAACTTCTGGCTAATTCTAATTTCTAAGGCAAACTATCTCAATAATTATAACTTACAAGTTAACTAAACCTTCAAGTTGCTA